CAGACAGACCGAGACAGAGACAGAGAGTGAGAGAGAGTGAGAAAGTGAAAGAGACAGACAGACAGGAATGACACACATACACACGCTAAGAGAGAGAGAGAGAGAGAGAGAGAGAGAGAGAGAGAGAGAGAGAGAGAGAGAGAGAGAGAGAGAGTTATTTCCCTTTTAGCAGAGTGCCAGAAATAGGCAGCCAAAGACCGCAAAACTTGAAGATTGAAATGAGACAAGGCTAGTCTTCAATATTCCGAACAAGAACAGCATTAGGTTATATATCTGTCCTCTTAACACTGTTTATTATTATTATTACTAATTCTTATTTATTTATTTTATGCACTACAGTGTCCTCAACAGGACAATTTCGGTCAAGACACGACATTGATACCTTAATCATGCTGTGGGGAGCAATCCAATGGGATGATGAAAATTGTACATCGCAGCCTATGTAATGAAAATAATTAGGTTCTCTCATAAGGCAATAATTACCTATTCAGCCTACCCTACACTGTACAGTGTTTGATGCGCACCTAGATTATTCCCAGTCATACACCGCACATAAGCTAGCATGAAACCTATACTATGATACAAATGAGTATGTCATTACAACCGGGCTCTGTCAAACATTATATTAGGTTGGTGTTGATACCCTTTGTCACATACATCTCCAGATCAAGAACATCCTTGCCACTTTTTTTCGGGGGGAGGGGGGGGAGTTGTTTGTTTGTTTGTCTTTGTTTCGTGAGACTTGCCAAAATAATATATCGAATGCATAAAGGTAGGAAGCGTAAGTATTTCTTGATATATGCCACGATTATTGTATGATATTATTCTTTTCCTGTGTTAATGAGAAAGGCGACTAGGTGAACTAAAACATTCGCCATCGTGGAAAGGGAAATAACATACGTATTAAGGTGATATATTGGGGTATATAATACAAACTGATACGGCTGGAGAAGTCTTAATCCCAGTAATTAATAATACCCTGGAATACACTGCAGCCGACCGCAATCTAAAGGTCTTGGTCTTGTTTTGTCCGAATTTTATAACGCAGAATCTTCTAATCTGGCTTAATTATCTTGGAAAAGAACAAAGAAAGGAAGACTTCAAACATCACGTAGGCGTCAAATCGAGCATGAAATATACCGTGAGACAACAAACCAAGTGGTTTGGACATGTCATGAGAATAGGGTTACAACAGCCAGCCTCTAAGGTCTACAACATGCGATTCGATCGTTTCAATGCACAAAGAAAGGAAGGCCAAGAAAAAGATGGATCGACTGAGTCAAAGAGACCCTCCAAACGAACAACATGATGATCCAAACAGCAACACACTCTGCCCACGTCCGACAAGGGCATCTCCCCTCGACACCTCGTGTATAAGAAGAGAGAAAAAGTACAAGTAACTATCTTGAGAATCTTGAGAAATCAACCTTGAAGTTTCTCTCTTTATAAATATGTGTGTGTATGTGTGTGTATGTGTGTGTGTGTGTGTGTGTGTGTGTGTGTGTGTGTGTGTGTGTGTGTGTTTGTTTGAGATCTACCTCCGAACATGGCGTAAGACCACCAGGACATGCTGCAGACGAAAAACTTGAGCTCTTTCGACGTCTTGACGGTCTCCGCCAGGGGTGGGTGTATAGCCGACCACACCCCAAGGTACACGACCACTAGGGCGACCAGTGGCACCAGGCGTTGTAACAGGGCTTTGTCTGGAAGATTTACCCTTTTCATGGTGCCACCTTGCTTGAAAATTACAGAGATCCTGGGAACCAAGAATATTTTTGTCAGAAGATAGATAGATAAATAGATAGACCCAACATTTCTCAACATTTGCGCCAATATGACGATGAATCACCCTTCATTGAGACGGATACACTGTAACGAACAAGAGGAACGAATAAAATAAATGAAATATATAAGTAAACGCACAATAGACAGGTACACTGCTGATAGATTCCATGTACAGTTTAAAGCATATCAATCAGAATGACAATTTACTCAAGGGTTTCTTTCAGGGCAGATTAATTCTTTCCAAGTCGGGTTGGGTAACAGTCATTTCACTTATATATTTTATCTCTTCGTTTTTGTGCAATTGAGCCTTTGCCATTTTGGATACTGTACATAAAAGTCATGTCATTTCCAATACATCAACCCCCTAAATAACAGAAATGGTGTCAATGCCTGTAAGTGTGCATCTTATAGTAACCTCCTATATTACAGAGATCATACTCGATGGACAATGGTTTCTGCGTGTTTTTGTAAGTTCCATGTATCCAACCTTCAAAATTACTGCTGTCATACTGATAGATTGGATGGAATTATTCCAACTTTATTTTGCTGTGGTATCGGTTTAATGACTCTTCCAACTCTCGGACCTCCGATGTTTACGTCCCTCTCCATTACGAAAGAACCATGTTTGGAGAAGGCCCTTAAAATTACCGGAGCCGCCAACATGTTGGGGCAAGAACGCTATTTGGGTCATACTGCATAGCATGATGCCAACTAAGATTAAGATTCTGCTGATTTCAACGTGTACTCCGAGCAAACTTGGTGTTCATGTTGCGCACTATGAGTTCGTCCGAGGTGAACGTTTTCTTGCACCGTATTCGCCAAAACTTAGAATAATAAATTACTAGAGAGTAACCTTTTCGTTATACGGTGTGAGTGCAATAAAATGAAATCAGTTTTGGTTGAGATTATAATAACTTGACATGATTTATTCTTTTTATATTGCTAAATTAACGCCCCTTTAGTAGAATCCTATTTGTCAAAGTTTTGTTGAAATTGGTGCAAAGCGTATCACGTCATTGCCTTTCAAATGGGTCTTCTTTTTGTAGACACTCTATACAGACCTCCATGTTTTGAGCAGTAGGGCCCCGTACATGACGCCAAAGCCCAAGTGGTAAGGCCAGATGCGTATAGTGCATGCAAGAGACGTCACTTCACCGTACAAGACGAATACCTGGGGAAAAAAGACAACGGATATTATGATTGATTGATTTATCTATTTATCTTCCGCTTTTGTCCGCTTCCTTGCTTTCTATCTATGAACGTTTTTCTTTCTATCTCCGTAGCTCTTTCTCTCTCTCTCTTTCTCTCTCTCTTTCTCTCTCTCTCTCTCTCTCTCTCTCTCTCTCTCTCTCTCTGAGTGTATGTGTGTGTGTGTGTGTGTGTGTGTGTGTGTGTGTGTGCGCGTGTGTGTGTGCGCGTGTGTGTTTGAGAAAGAGAGAGAGAGAGAGAGAGAGAGAGAGAGAGAGAGAGAGAGGGGGGGAGAGTATTTATGTGTTAGTGTGTTGTTTTGTGTGGTTGTGTGTGTATTTACACGAACCCACATGTCTTATTATCTGTTTGCTTGCTATTTCCAAATCTACCTCCTTTTTTCTCCTTTCATCCAAGTCTGTGATCTTGCCTTTCTTTTCTATTTGCCCTATTATTCTTTTCTTTTCGGCCCTTCTATCGTTTTTACGCATTCTTCTCATTCCTTTATATCGTTTCTCGTTGAGTCTTCTCCTTTGTATGTTTTGACAAATCAATAACAGTCTAGTGCGTGCGAGTAAATCTGGTGATAGCATACTTACACTGCTACACATGAGAATGGCTCCAAGACACATGAGCTGTAGGAAGATTGGGCTGGCCGTCTTGATAACCTGAGGAGAGGCATCACATCACATTCAGGGGTAACAGAAGAGACTTTTTGTTGTTGCTGTTGCTACTGCTGTTGTTGTGGCTGTTGTTGTTGTTACTGTTGTTGTTGTTTTCCCCAACAGAGCATATAAAAATAATACAAAGGGGAAAGATCCTCTCTCAAGCGTAAAAGAAAAGTGTGTGTGTGGGGGGGGGGGGGGGGGGGGGGGGGGTGGGTAAAGAACGTTTCAAAATGTGGGTCCAATGCGCTAAAGTGCTGACCAGGATCCCATTTTGAGGTGTGTATCTACTATTATGTAAACGATGTAACTCGGAGAGGTGTCAGTGTTGAACCGGCAGCCAAACAGAAAATCATCTACATCTACTACATGCCTGGCCAATGTTCGAGGCGCTTCGAAGGAAATATCTTTGTCCCAACCCTAGGCAGGCAGATCCAAAACTCACCAAAAGCCTGGAGGACCTGCACAAACTGCGGCATTCGCGATAGAGTGACTACTGGACTGTCCATTTAAAGATGAACGGGATGGAGAAGACGTTCAACAGTGGGTGAAAAAGCCCCCAAAATAGCAAAGATAAATGCCCATTGTTGCAAGGAACGAAACTATTATAGGCTGTCTGGGTGGCACGTCAGTTAAAAAAAATAGTAATTTCAGATTTTAACACATTATTATAGGATTCTGTTTCCGAGCATGTATGTTTAAAAAATTTGGAGTAAACTCCATTAGCACAATATGATGATGATGATGATGATGATGATGACGATGATGGTGATGATGATGATGATGATGATGATGATGATGATGATGATGATGATGATGATGGTGGTGATATCCTTATTATTAATATTAATATCATTACTGCTACTATCATTTATTTTCTTCAAGACCAAAAGGTTACATCCACAACTATTTACGTCATCGTCGTTCGTCAGCTTCCCGCCCAAGGTGAACTGACTTCGCACTGTACAAAAAGGGGGAAAAAACATCAGCGGCTTAGTTCTTAATGATGGGAGCAGATCTAGGATCGCACAAAAGTACACGGATTGTTTTGTAATGTTTAGCACGTCCATGCGAGCTGATCCTATTAGAGGCCACAACGGTAAATGTGACGGGAAAGTATCACCCAGAATATCAATATTAAGACAGATTCGCATACCCAAAATTGCTTCTAGGTTATGGCAAGGGCACAGAAAAGTTATGTAAAGCACTATTGTTCGTATTCCACGTAGCATGTTAAGGTTTGAAAAGACAATTAGATAGTTTATGTTGTGTAACCAACTGTGGATGTGAATTTGGTAGATCCAGCTTTATTCCGATTTTCCTGGCTTTTTTTCTTTCGGTCGAACAAAAAAGCTGGGGGGG